GGAAGACAACTCCCTGACACAGCTGGTGAGGGAGCCAACTAGGGAAGGCGTCCCACTGGACCTGTTGTTTGTGAACAGAGAAGGACTTGTGGGTGATGTGATGGTTGGAGGCCATTTTGGGCATAGCGATCACAAATGAGTTTTCAGTTCTTGGAGAGTAAGGACAGGGGTCAGCAGAACTGCCACCCTGGACTTCTGGAGGGCAGACTTTGGCCTGTTTAGGGGCCTGGTTGACAGAGTCCCTGGGGAGGCAGTCTTGAAGGGCAAAGGAGTCCAGGAAGGCTGGACAAGAAGGAAATCTTAGTGGCACAGGAGCAGGCCATCCCTATGTGCTGAAGGATGAGCCAGCGGGGAAGACCACCAGCCTGGCTGAAGAGAGAGCTTTGGCTGGAACTTAGGGAAAAAAGGGAGAGTTTATGACCTTTGGAAGAAGGGCTAGGCAACTCAAGAAGACTACAAGGATGTTGTGATGTTACACATGGAGAAAATTAGAAGGGCCAAAGCCCAGCTAGAACTAATCTGGCTACTGTCACAAAAGACAATAAACAATGTCTTTTATTGGATGTAGGGTGAAACATAGTGACAAAGAATGAGGAATAGGCTGGGGTACTTAATGCTTTGTTTGCCTCAGTCTTTAACAGTAAGAGTAGTTGTTCTCTGGGTACCCAGTCCCCTTTCTGTGCTTACTGTGTGTCAAGCAGCTTTCTCCTCCTATCCCAAAGCCATGGGCAGGCTGTCTGCACCCCCTTTTCCAGTACTTTGACTCCCAGCTGTGAGAGCAGCTTGCCTTTCCCGAGGTGGTGGAGCCCTGCAGGCTGGCTGGTCTCCTAAACTCTGTTCCTGTAGCTCCACAGCAGGTGAGTGGTGTTCAGACCCCAGAGGTGCCCGGGGAGCAGGTTCAGAGTTGCCTGAGTGCTTCCATGATGCATGCTGGTGGGGTTTCCCAAGCCTAAATGCAGCTTTTCCCCTTACTCCTACCTCTGGCGGTACTTCATGCACACCCCTACCCCTCCTGCTGGTAGGAGTTTCCTCTTTGCACTTCTTGGCTTTTGCTTCCAGGCATCTCTCTGAAGCTTTCCTGATCTCACTATGCTTTGGGATATTGCTGCTGACCTCTGTAAAACCTTTTCACCTGCAGTTTGCCTAAGAGGCTACTCAAAATGAAACTGTTTCATCTTTCTTGCTTCCATGCTGCCTGGACTTCTCTTGAACTGCACTGGGGATGTGAAACTCTGTCTCATGCAGCTCTGACTCCTGCCTCAGATGTCAGTCTTGCCCCACAGTGAGTTAACTTGGATCCCAGGCTGTGAGAGGCTCTACCTTTCCCCTTACAAGTCTGCATGCTCTCTTCTGAATCAGTGACAACTGGGGTGTCTCATTGTAAGCGGAGAAATCCCCTGGGGGAAGGAGAAGTCCCAGGTCTAATCCTAACACACCCTAGAAAGGCTCAGCAGAGGAGCTCATCAACCTCCACCCAGGAAGGCTGAACTTGTGCAAGTTTGGCTCTTTCATGCAGCCCAGGATAGCGTGGTAATTAGGCAGCAGTCTTAGTTGTTCTTGCTTTTCCTCTGGGAAATGACTCTACAGCTCCCTCCATCTTAAGGGAAGAAATGTGTAGGAGGGTTCAAGTAATCTGGCTAATTCTTCTATAGGATTTATGCAGAAAAAAACTTGTGTATGTTTGCCTCTTATTTCTTACAGCTGTTTAAGATACAAGTAATGAACTTTGAAGAAGGCCTTATCTGTAGCACTCTGTGGAATTATCCCAGCCATAAGTCCAAGCTGGGGACAGGGAAGAAGCAGGGCAGAGGGTGCCAGCCCTGAACAGTGGGTGGGGATGAAAAGATTTGAAGATGAGCGGAACCAGCGATCTGTCCTGGAGCTGAAGAGGCCCTCAGACATGCCAGATAAGGACAGAGAGGAGCAAGTTGCTGTGCTGAACCTCCTGAGGGTGCACAGGACACGGTTCTCTCTGGTGATTGCACAGACACTGCGCTGCCCCATGGCACGAAGGGAGAGTTCCCGGTTCCTTCCCCTGCCCAGGGAACTGGCCCTGCAGCTTTACTGCTCCGAGGCTGATCTTGTGTCAGAGTGAAATGCCTTCAGTGAGCTGGCTGTGGAGCTGATACCTGGGCCTGTACAGCTTCAGTGAATTAACCGTGGTCTGAGGACTACTGCGAGTAGCTTAAGGGGAGTGGGACCCTTGCTCTGCCCTGCTGCCCCAGTGCCCCTTGTCTGGGCAGTAGAAGGGTCTGGAGAAGGAGGAGGGAACAAGGTGCACTCTCTGGGGATTCTTCTTTGGGGATTTCTGTACACTAGCAGGGAGCTGCGAATTAGCCAGCCTCTGGCCATCTGGTCTCTCTGAAGCCTGGGTCTGGCCACCCAGAATCCTAACCATACTGTTTTTCTCTGACTTGCAGAAAGTGGTGCCAGAAGCCTGCACTGATCCCATAATCCTTGAGGAATCAAAGCTGTGAAATGGAGGGGTGGCAGAGCTGGGAGATGCAGCCCCCCTCGTTCCCATCTTTGCCACCTACACCATCCTCCTGTTACATGCACACCGTGGTGGGGGGGCAGCCTCAGGACAGGAGCCCAGTGAGCTGCTTGTGGAGAGTGTGAAAGAGCAAAACAAGAAGGGAGTTAGTTGCTCTCTTCAGTTGTACCTCTGCATCTTGCTGTTTTGGAGACTTTGCTGCTTGGGAGGAAAAGTTGGGAAAACCCACTGCTTTCTCCCTGTCCCACCCTGTATGCCTGTGTTCAGTTTTGGGCCCCTCACTACAGGAAAGATGTTGCATTGCTGGAACATGTCCAGAGGAGAGCAACCAAGCTGGTGAGGGGTCTGGAACACAAGTCATATGAGGAGCGACTGAGGGAACTGGGGTTGTTCAGCCTGGAGAAGAGGAGGCTGAGGGGAGACCTGATCGCCCTCTACAACTACCTGAAAGGAGGCTGTAGGGAGGTGGGGGTCGGCCTCTTCTCCCTGGTAACAGATGATAGGACGAGGGGGAATGGTTTGAAGCTGTGCCAGGGCAGGTTTAGGCTAGACATTAGGAAAAACTTCTTCACCGAAAGGGTTGTCAGGCTCTGGAATGGGCTGCCCAGGGAGGTGGTAGAGTCGTCATCCCTGGAGGTCTTTAAAAGGATAGATGAAGTGCTTAGGGACATGGTTTAGTGGTGGGATGTCAGGGTTAGGTTAAAGGTTGGACTCGATGATCTCAAAGGTCTTTTCCAACCAAAGTGATTCTATGATTCTATGAAAAGAAAAAGCACACATGCTGAGAAAAGCCATGGTTCCAAGCTAGCCCTGAGCACATGAGGGTGGCACCCTGCACATGGCTGTCTCCTCTCACAGGCAAGCTGTGACATGAAATGCAGAAGCTGGACCATGCTTACTCTGTGAGCAGCCCTGGAGGAGCTTTCAGCTGGCTCTTGGGAAGAGGGATTGCTCTGCCTTGGTGCCCGTGATGCTCTATGTTGCACAGGTGATGGTAGAGGCCTCAGCACATCACCAGCAAGTGTAAAGCAGTGCATCTGCCGCTGCTGGCTCTGGTTTTATTACGTGACTGTCCCAGATGAAGCGCTCTTAGTCTGTGGATAAATCTCTGCTCAGAATTCAGAGGTTGCCCTGATGTTCCTATATATTAGGAGTAACTGAGAGATAGCAATATGCCTCCTTCTACCTGGAGGCAAGGACTAGTTCTGCAGCTTATGTTGAAGCTACAGCCTAAGCCCAGCTCATTGCTACACTAGCAACAGGAGTGAGTCAAACCACAAGCTCCCTGGGCTGATAACTGTGTCTTCCTCCTTAATGATAAAGTGCCTTTTGCATGTTTCAACACTACATAAAAACTTTTGTAAAGTATTATATTGAGATAACCAGCTAAGGCTGTGTTGCTCTTCGCAGCCACAAAGAGGGGGTTTGAGTGTGATGGGAGTCCAGATTTGCTCCAGAGTGGAAGCTTCTCACTTTGTAACAGAGAACAGAAGAAGCCCTCTTACCAGCATTTGTGTCTCATAGACACTGCCCCTCTGTATGCTGCTGTTTCTCTTCTCAACCCAAATGTAGATCCTTCTGTCTCTTCTTCCTTTCCAGCAACCCTCCACTGGTGGAGACCTCAGGTGTCCTTATACTTCTTAAACCATGCAGTTATGCATGTATCATTTGGAGGGCGGGCCAAAAACCACAACCAGGTGCAATGGATAAAAATAGTCCTCTCTGACATACCATTTTTGACAAAACACTTTTGGGTGAAATTATACAGTCTTTTGACGCATTAAAAAAGTCAAGTCCTATCTTTGATAGTTTGGGATTGAGGATGGGGGTCTAAAATGGCTTTTCAATAGCAGTTTTTATATAAAATAAAACCATTTGAAATGTACAATGAAACCTGACACATTCATATTAAATGGCTGAAACAGTCTACATCTGGCTCTTTTAATAGCCTGAAATGTTTTGCAGAATGGAAAAATCATCTTTCTGCCCAGTGTTACTGTTGTGCTGCTCTTCTGCACATGCATCGCCTTCCCAGCCAGGAGACCCTGCTGGTTCCTTCCTACCTTCTGTGCACTGCCCATCTGCTTTGGGCATTATTGCATCTAGGTCTAAGCAACCTGCTCCTGTTTTCGCTGTCTTCTCTAGTTATAGCTCACTGCAAAGGTGCCTCAGTCCTTGCTCACAGGTGCATGCAGTTTGCTGTCACCAGTATGCTTTGGAAGTGAGAGCTGCAACAATTCTCTGTGCATGTGTGTGATGTGAGCAGTCAGACCTGAAACTTTGTAGGAAGGAGTCAGGGAAAGGTGGGTTTGCTGTAAAGAGAGATGATTTGTCCTGCTACCGTAGAAATTGCTGTTTGCTCTGAAGTTGTACATCCTCTACCCGCTCCTGTGTAGCAGAAAGAAAGACATAGCACCCTGCAGTTTTCTGTCATTTATTAGAAATGGCCCCCAAAGAACACACACATGCAAATTACACAGCAGTGCCAGGGGCAGCACGTGTTCTCTCTTTCTGGTCCGAAGTGTTCAGTGAGTCCCGGGTAGCTCTACACCTCCTCCCCACAGGTACACTGGGATAGAAGTCCTTAGTGCACTGGGCACGCCTGAGACATTCCCTGCTATCCTCCAGGGAGGCAGTCACCAACTGCCCCCCGCAAGCTTTGACACAAACTCCTCTGGGACTTGGTCTTTGACATCAGTCAGTTGAAACATTGCCTGGACAAGAAAAAACACTTGGTAATGAAGAATGATTGACAGAGTCCAACATTGATTCACCAGTGGGACTGGTGTCCTGGAGAAGTTCAACCGAGTATTAGTGGAAGTCTGGCAGTGAAGACAGGAGACAACGCTGACCTACACAGGGCCCTCAGCTTCAGTTTTTCTTCTTGTTCTGTGACAGTGCTTCTACTTCTAGGTACTGCAGCCCAATCAACATCCCCAAGATAGAGAAACCTGTGATGGAGATATAGGATGAGTTGTGTAGAAAATGCTGGACAGGAAATGAGGCATCCGTTCCCACCATCCCCTCCCTGCCCTTAGCTCATAGCCCCATGGAGAGTTTTTCTGGGGGGTCGTAGCTCCAAGGACAGTTTACGGAGGGACGATGCAGAGCTCTACTTACTTGCTACCATGAGGGGTGCCATAACTCCAATTGTCAAGGCTGCAGTGTGGTAAATGAAGACCTCAGAGAGGAAGTGAACAAGGGCCAAAAAGAAGGTGAAGAGCGTGATGTAATAGAGGCTGTTGGAGAGCAGAAAGAAGTAGTTATCATATAGCCCATAGCATGGGCACGAGCACAGCTGAGTGGAAAAGACGCAAACCTGCATGCTGCCCTGTCTTTACTATGGCAGCACAGAGGGCACTTGTCCCCTGCCTAGTGAGGTGCAAAAGCTCCCTGAGCAACAACTGAAAGGAGAACAGGACAGTGTGTTCAATGGTGCATTGAAAGTCACAGGCGTTATCTGGCCTGAAGGCAGGGGAAGAGGGGAGAGCAAGGGTAGGGCACCGGTGAAGTGAGAAGCATGTGTGCACACAAAAAAGAGGGCGAGAACTGGATGAGAGCTAGGGCAACAGGACTTGGCCGATTCCAGGCTGCATCACCCAACGAGCCTTCCCAACTGTGCTCTGCTACCCTCTAGGGGCCACAGTTGTGGAAAGAGAGCAGGTCCAAGAGATGCAAGATAAAAAAATCCTTCTAGGAAACAACTGGCTTCATGGTACTTGGCATTGCCACCACCCCCTAAAAACAAATAATTGAGTCCCTGCACCTCCCCACCACAGACAAGCCTAGGCAATCCAGGGACACGCTGCCAGGTGAACGGTGACTTCTGCTATGGGACTGGGGGAGGCGGTGACAACAGAGTGAGTTCTAGCAACCTCCAACACAGGCTTTGTCTAGCACAGACCCAGGGTCAGCCTGCTTGGAAATCCCTCTCAGAAATACTTCTGTTCACAGGGACAAACGGCCTGCCTCCCAGCACAGCATCAGGCTGCGCCTCAGGCCCTGTCCTCAGCCCCTCGTAAGGGTGTATGGAAGAAGGCAGCGGGTTAAGGCCACTGCAAGGGGCCTCTCAACCTGCCACAGTCTTTAGCTGGGCTGTCATAGGAAAAGAAGCACCGAGCATCAGCCAGACCTCAGCATTTGCAATTGCTGAATGTCAACAGCACAGCAACGGCATCAGAAGATGCTTTCCAAGCTGGAGCTCAGAAATTTGGGACATAAGAACTTCTCAACCTGCCAACTTCTGCCTCAGCTAAGAAACAGAACTCGCATGCGCAGGCTCTCCCTACAGAGGCAGAAGGGAGCAGCAGTTAACACACACAGCCCGCACTGCTATTTAAGCTTTTTCAGGGGAATGCTTCCGACCCTACAGAAGGTTCAGGAACAGCTTCTGATTCCCCACCTCCTCCGCGCCGCCCTCTAAGCTAGCTGCTCAGGGTGTGACTAGCAAGCAAACCGAAGGATTTCTCCGGTGCTCCTTTACATACGTCCTATTGCGGATGTCGATGGCGCAGAGACAGCGGATCACTGATGACAGCAGGGTCCAGACGCCAAAGGTCCGAGCCTGGAGCCCGTTCACTGCGCAAAGAAGGGGGGAGCACATGGAGACCCCGCACAGCCCCGCTGGGCACCCCCCACCCCCGCCGGGGAGGCGCACGCCGGTGCAGCAGGCGGCTCCC